ATAGAATCCAAGTCCAGAATCCAAATGGAAAGGGAATCTGTGAATATTCTCTGCTGTTGTAGTCTAACTGTATGACACCTTGACACCGGCTGGATTCTGGATAAGACAGATAATCTTCCAGTCTCTCTGGTGTGTTAGTTTGAAGCTCAGTTGAATTTAGTGTAGAGAAGAGAATTTTCTGTATGGATGCGTCAGAGGAAATAAACAGTAAATAATCTTTCTTAGATAGTTTTCCTCTTGGAGGGATAAGCCAGTTTGCCTTTTTCCCTTTCTCTTTCCTTCTTCTTTCTTTCCTGTCTCTTCCTTTCTCCTTCTCTCTTTCTTTTAAAAAATATATGAACAACTTAAAGGCCAATCCGTATATATACTACACAGAAGAATGAGATAGATAACGTAGGACACAAGTGGCAGTCTTTATAATTTAAGTAGAGAGGACAATCCACCTGCTGTTGAGGAGCTAACTGTGCTTATTACCTAAATTGTCTATTTGACAGAATTTGTTCCCTCACTGGTCAGCTCCTAATTTTCCTATCAGTTTACTGGTGATATAAATTGTGTGATTTCAGAAGTAGACGTGCTTTTTACAGTCTAAGAATGATAAGTAAATGGTGATCATTTACATCACTTTCTCAACTTAAAGTCAAGTTGTTTTCTATTTGTCTACATAGAGGAATTCTAAAGCACATAATTTAGTCTGTTCTTTTTTCACTGAGTGTTCATTGGAAGATGATTGCTTTCTTTCTCATTTCTTCCTAATTTTCTCACCTTTAAATTAAAATTGCCTTCATCTTTTGCAAAAATGCATGTATTTTTGTTTCTTCTTGCAAATCAATTCCTATTTCTTCCTAACTGAAGACTTCATAACTTTAGTCTATGTAACTCAGACAGTCACATGTAACATTAATTGTTTTGCTTTAAAATAAGGGCTCAAACTTCATAAAGTTACTACATCTCACACAGAAGCCCTACAAAGAAGACATTACTTTTTGTTATGCAGAAAATCTTTTTAAAACTATAGACTAGTAGATGCAAAGATTTGGTATTAAAGTCATGATTTTATGTTTATCTATGTTCATTTAATTTTATAGTTTTCTATTTCTAACTCAAGAAGCTAACAAAATCATGGCATGGTACCAATGATAATAGCTCCCAAATTTCACTTCAGAAATGCAAGAGCTTTCTTGCTATTGTCTTGACTACAGAATTTCCTATTTGCAAAGTTTAACAAAATTACAGTGTATTTCCTTCAGGAAGTGCTTAGAGATGTATCTTTTTAAAAGATTCATTTCTTAGATAACTTGCCCTTTTAAACTTAGATTTAAAATATTCAATTTTTCTTATTGTTCTTATATTTTGATATTTCCCTGATATTACACACAAAAACGTTTTGAGGTAGAACTAAATGATGAAAGCAATACTTAAATAGAAATTGAGCTATTTATTACTTAGCTGTATTGAATAAAAGTTTTAGGGAAAAAATCTGTAATGCTTGTGGAAAACCATAGCATGAGTTTTCTAAGTGTTTTAGAGAACACTATCATTGATTTTGCACTCTTATTGTTCCAGTTTCTTTAATGTAACGGTCATTTTACTGTTTCTCATCTATTAAGACACTAAGCTCATTGAAATGAATCTGAGTTTTATTTTTATACCTACATGTACAACTTAAGCTATACTATGTGAGGAAAAAGGGTTATATTTGTCTATATTAATTAGGAGCATGTTGAGCTTAATGGGGATTTGATCATATGTTTAAAGATAAAAGCTTTGTTGTCCCCTCTTAAAACTCATTTTGGGGTTTGACAGTGTAGGTGATAGGGGATGCAAATTGAGGCCACTAAACTCTCATCGTGAATATGCAAAACTTGATCACTTAAATTCCAAGTCCCAACAGAGTTATTTAGCAAAATAAGTACATTTAGATGGGGTTTATAAACTTCACTGAAATGTTTTTTGACCTGTTCTGTCAAGGGTCATATATAACTCAAACATCTGTGATTATAATACCTTAAAAACAATAAATTCCATTTTCATGATTAAGTATTTCAAGGTTTTAAGATAACTAATCACCAAAAAATCTGTATTAGGAGGTATACAGGCTATTTCCTTATGTATAAGTAGTTTTAAAAATATTTTAACTCTCTTCACTCTAGAAAATGAGAAGGTATTTTATGGACAGGAATAAAATAGATCCCAGTTGTAGACTAGCATAGTATAAATGCTAGTTAAAAACTCTTGGATCTCTCACTGGCACCAAGCCATACTGAGGTTCCTTTTCTCCCCCTCATTGGTACCTAAACACATTGGGATTTCTTTTTTAATCTCCACAGGTGTTGAATGAACTCTTTAATATAAAGGAATATCTTCTTACAGTTCTCTGTACAAAAGCAAAAGTACTAATAATACGCTCTAAAAAAAAGGAAATATTTTAAATCATAAAACTAACAATCATAGCAATAAGGCCTTTGTGCAAAGCTGATACAAAGACCCTGTAAAAGCCAGCTCATTTCAGTTGTAATCACAATACAGGGGCTGATAATAAGCTTGTTTCTAAAAAATACTAACCAATCAATTCCAAGGATATAATGCATCTTGAAACTCTAAAATATTGTTTAAAATGATACTTTCTAGGTTTTGAAATATTTTCTAGATTGCTGGAGATTCTTCTACCCTAATATTTGCAGTTTAGAAGGCAAAGTATAGTGTTATTAACATGAAGATGTTTGAATATGGTTGCTTGCAGCTTCACATAACTGTCCTTAACAGGCTTTTTGAGGTCAAATTTAATCTATTGGCTTTGAGCCTGAAGAATTTTTTAAAGTTTAAATGAAGTTCCAATGCTGTTTTCAGTGATCAAAGCAAAAATTTTAAATGGTCTTTTGCACACTTTCATACATATATATATATTTTGCTAACAATATAAAGTGCATTGATTTTTGTGGCTGCAACCAAGAAAGTGTACATCTAAGTAATCCAATCTTTTAAAAGTTCTGTGAATTTCAATGGCTTGTCAAAGGCACACGTTCTACATTTAAACAAATATTTAATCCTGTGCATCCTTCAAAGGAAACTGAAATAAATGTACCTGTTGTAGGAAAACTCAGTCTTTTTGCATCAGAAAACATTATGGTTAAAATTTTTGCATGAGCTGGAAATGCACCATCACTTGGGCCTAACACATGAATACATTTAGGCAAAAGACAAAGTCTCTAAGAGAAGTACTTACGTATAAGCAAAAGAGTAACATGACAGCTACTACGGAAACAATTCTTGTAAATTTCCTAACTTTTATGTCCACAAATTCCTAACTACTTTTGTTTATTCTTTTTTAAAAATTAACATTTTGAAATCTATGCCTAGGCACTAATGCTTTCTTTTTGTACACTAAATTAAGTATGATTATTAGAGTTATCAACTCAAATTCTATTAGAGTATTAACATTTAGTAATATGCTTGATCATATAAAATATATACGTGTGTAATAAACATAAAGAGCTTTGGTGTCAATCTTAACATTTATACAGTTCTGCCCTGTAAACTATTCCCTCTGTAAATCAGATATCTTGAAAATTTTCTATTGACATTTTACTGCTGATAAGAAACAAGGAATTAGAAAGTGAGAGGAGGAAAAGATGAACATGATTAATAGGTGTTTGTTTCATAAAGACCCTGGGGAGACTTTAAAACCTTTCATTGCTGCTGCGTTCTCCCCAGTGCAAGTGCCTCTCCGAGCTTTCAAAGCAGGGCTGAGTAGTTACTCCACAAGTGGCTTTGCGTCCCGTTACTGTGAACCGGGGTACCCTCTACACACTAAGGCAAGGTTAAATGAAGACTGTACTCATTAACCGCCCCCCCCCGAAGCACCTAAATTATGCCAAAGAAGAGAATGTTTCACGTTGAATTGAACATTGCAAACAAACGTCCCTGCAGACTAACACGTATTTCTTCTTCTGTAGCTTTTCCCTCCATCCTTCAAGACCTACTCCTCGAGCTCTTTTCATCAAAAATGCCTATTTTGCTTCGCGGTTTTGTTTTTTTTTTTTTTTGAAAGTTACTCCCAACCAACTTCGTAGAAATACAGACTTAAACTTATGCAGGATTTAAGTTTTTAAAGTTATAGATATCTTTAAAAAAGTAATTCACTTCTAATAAAGATCATGTCATCCCTAGCTGTGATTTTTACTAAAATAACTGTCTGAATATGCATTTGTGAAGGGTTTATTGAGAATTAAAACTGCAGCCACGGCTGTAGTGAACACTGTAGCAAACAGAGTGGATCGCGGTTTGCTTTTGGAAGGTATTTATTTGCAGTGGCACATCAACATTTCAATAACCCCGTCACTGTGCTCATGCATAATGTATTCCTCTCCGGTTTCGGACACGCAGGCTCTCGATGCGTGCATGTCTGTGCACACACTAACACACGCAGCCAGCAATCTACTGCCGAGGTCCAGAAATGACAAAGGAAAGGGAAAATGCCAGATTTATAGAATTAGGTGGCTACAGTGTCACTGATAATAGGGCAGCGCTTCGAGGTTAGTTTGGTGGTTCTTTTTTTTTTAACACACAAAAATAGACAAAACCAGCGGCCTCACAGCCGAGCTCTCCGCAGGACCCCGCGCAAAACGGGGCGCGGAGGGGGCGAGGGGGCGGGGCGCGCCGCCCGGGTCTTGGGGAGCCGAGCGCGTCGGTACTAGGTGAACGCGGGGCGCGCGGAGGCGAAAGCGCCGAGCGCGTCCACAAAGCGCCCAGGGCGGACCCTCTCGGCGGAGCTCGGGGCTTCGAGGCCCGAAGGCCGAAGGAAGCTTTGGAGGCGCGAGGGGCGCGGGGGTAGGGAGGCCACGGGCGGGGAGGCCCCGCAGCCCGCGCCGCCTCAGCCTGCGCCGCTTCAGCCTCGGCT